TTTGCTGTGCCGCCAGGGTTCCAAAGGTTTTAAAATGGCTGCCTGTTGGCATCTAGGTTTCCATGCTTGGTACAAGTGGCTGCCAAGGAAGCGTACTATTTTCCTTCATCTTAGTATTTTGCGAGTGAACGAGGCTGGCTGGAAGCACGGTTGACAAGTTAGCAATTGGTTTATAGCTTTCCTTCTATTCCTTTGTACCACGCTTCCCTTAGAATTCTAGATAACCATGCTTGTTGTTGTTGTTCCTTTCTTAGAACTTCATCTTTAGAAAAGTCCTAAAAATATATATTCCCACAGCATTACAAATAAGTAATAAAATGGTAGTTATTTCTCTCAGGGTCAAAGTCCTTTGGTCTCTAGGCCAAAGAATGAAGCACTAAATGAACTGTAGAATTCCAGGGACTAGTTAGTAAGATAGAGTAGGTCTGGGTGAGAAGCCTTCCTGGAACCATTGTGAGGGCAAATGTGTGATTTGTCTGCCTTTTAAGTCTAACTCTCACTGAGCTTTTTACTTCTGTTCATTTTTCTGAACGTGTGGCCTTTTGTTTTCTTGAACTAGGTCTCATTTTTATTTTCAAAACTATTTGCCATGGTGAATCAGGCATTAAGCCTCTCTGTCCAACAGAGATGCCTAATGCTAACGGCCTTTTGTTTTTGGCATCATGACTTAAATACAAGCAATGTGGCCAGTCTAATGTTAAGATAATGTAATTAAATCATAAAGAAGTTAATTTTTCCCTCTGGGTAGAGAGAATGATTCAAATTTTTGTGGTGTTTCATTTCTCCAATTTATTTTTGCCCCTCAGATAGCCAGAGACTATTTTATTGCATACACCTACCAATTCTGGATGATCTAACTTGACTTGTTTTTCACCAAAGTTGAATTGGTTTCTGTTTTCCTGCTTTTGTACACCGATCTAAAAGTAGTGGGCTCTGTGGAACATGGCGGACTTCTCACATACACAAGTCTTGCTCTTTAGATAGGGACATAAGAGTAACTGTGCTCCTCTAGTGAGAATTTCAATGGATCTCTCAAGGCTCATTTATCTTATCATTAGAGCAATCTTTAGATTGGGGGGTGGGTGGGTGGGAGGGCTGTGAGGAGTGATTGAGCCATAATTTCTCAAGGCATCAGAAAACAAATGTCTCATCCCCCAACCCCCACCTCACCTTGAAAATGGACTTGCCTTGTTAGGTATTATGCAGTATCACAGGTCTCAAAGAATAGGATGTATCTTTTAAGTTTCTCTGGCTGCAGATCTAGAACTGGAATGTCAATTCCCATGCTGAAATACATAGTCTCTAAAAACAAACAGGTAGTTATTAATTTTGAGGGTTAGGTTTAGAATTTGACTTACATATTTCTAGTGTCTTCCTTTCCCAACTCTTTTTTTTAAGAATTATTTTTATTTAACTTTATTCACTTATTTTATTTATTTATTTTAATATGGGGACAGAGAAGGACAGAGTGTGTGTGTGGGGGAATGGGAAAGCAAGCTGCTAGGTCTGGAACTTAAACCATGTAGGAGTCCAGCACCCTTAACCACCACGCCACCTGCTAGCCCCCCTTTTCCAACTCTTTAACACCTCTTTTGGTATTTAATACTCCCATAATGCCCTCTCCCCATTGATGTTAGGTTGTTGGAAAAGTCATGATGTATTTTTTCTATGTTTTCCTATGCAAAGATGACCTTTCTGACAATCCAATATATCAATATAATCTCGTCTTTATTCTCTTGATTGATGGTATCTTGAATTAGAACCTTGTCTGAATCAAACTCTTTTTGCCATGTAAAAATCAGAGTTTAAAACCGAGGATGAACTTTATAAGGTTTCTTTATCTCTGGTTATTATTAGTCTTGATTCATCGAAAGGATTGACTTAGAAAAGTGATTTCTTAGAGTCAGTTATGCTCTTCTTAGATTTCATTTAAGATTCTTTGTTGTGGATGATGGCTATTTCTCCTCGAATAGAGGGAAACCCATGTTTATCACTTGACTTCTCTCAGTCACAGCTAAAGATTGAGGTATGAAGACTAGCTTCTATTTCCTCTTTTGTAACTAGTTCATTTTCTAATCCTCTGAGGAGCAAAAAGGCCATTGAGTTCATTATATTTTATCTCACAAAGGTAGATTGGTCACATTGAACATTTTAGCTATATGAAACAGTACAACTGAAGCAGTGTGAACAAACAATGAAAGGTAAACCATTTATGCATAATTCAATACACTCTCATTTCTCCAAATCCTGAAAATTATATATACTATTTTACAGTTCAGATGAGGTTCTTTATAAATCAAATGAAGTCTCTGGAAGAAACGATGTCCTACCCTTTCAGAAAGGTCTATGATTCTAAAATATTAGAAATTCTCTACCCTTACATATTACTTGTATATAAAACTGGTAAATATAAAATTGATATAGTGATATTTCTGCTGCACTATCCATTATTTAACTCAGCAGGTAATTTTGTGTAAGCTTGCAAGTCATTTTTCTGAGACTCCTTTTCCAAACAGGAAAAGTAATATAGTAGTTTGCAGCTTAATCATTTATCTTATCTAATAATTTTACACTAAGTCTTACCCAAATTAGTGTGTAGATACTTGAATGTGTATGAATGTTTAGGTGCATTTATAAAATAGTAAGAGACATGGTCTCTACTTTCAAGGGACTTACTGTTTAGTTAATGCAGGGATAATATTTAAAATACATAACAATTAGTAAAGAATAGGCACCAGCAATTAAAATGGGAGTCACTAATAGGGGCCTGGTCTAGGTGTTCACTTTGGCAGCGCATATAGTAAGAGCCTGATCCATGGGTCAGCAGGTGGGGGTCAAGATTAAAGCAGCTGGGGAACCAGCAGTTAGCGTAATGGCTATGTCGCTAGACTCCCACGTAGTCGACCGCGGTTCATGTCCCGGACCCGGTGGCTTAAAACTCACGCCGGGCGCGTGTGCGTGCGTGCCCAAGATCCCGAGAGGAGAATGGAGGAGAAGGGATTGCGGTGTGACCATCCCCCCTGGGGGGTGATTTCTCGCTTTCTGTCTCTATGTCTCTCTCTGTCTGTCTGGCGAGCGCACGCGCCCTACAGTGAAAATCTCTCCAAAAAAAAAAGAGTAAAAGATTAAAGCAGCTGGATCCCACATGGCTGACTGTGCAGTTCACGTCTTGGACCTGGTGGATTGAAAATCATTCTATACATGTGTATGTGCATGCCCAAAATCCCAAAAAGAGAACAGAGAATCACTCTGGGAAGGGATTTCTCATTTTTTCCTCTATCTGTTTTTCTCTCTGGTGAGTGCAGGCGCCCTGTAGCAAAACAAAAAACAAAAAACAAACAAACAAAAAACATAAATAAAGAAAAGGAGAGAGAGCCTGGTCCAATGGCCTCCATCTTTGCCAGGCATTTTTTTCTTTTTTTTTTTTAAAGAAAGATTTCTGCTATAAGGCATGTGTGCTCTCTGGAAACAGACAGAAAGTGAGAAATCACTACCCCCTGCCCAGTTGGGGGTGGTGGGGATGGCCACACTGCAATTCCTTATCCATTCTCCTCTTGGGATTTTGGGCGGGCACACACACACACACACGTGCCCAGCATGAGTTTTAGGTCACTAGGTCTGGGACTCAAACTGCAGTTGACTGTGGGAGTCCAGCAATGTGACCATTACGCCTTCTGCTGGTCCCTTGCCAGGTATTTATATTAATCCTTTAGTTTCCAAAATGTGGAGGTCTGGGAAAACTTGAGAGTTAGGACTTAGATAGAAATAGGCAACTTAGGGGCATTACACTCAGCGTTGCTGCTGCTCACCAATGAGCACAGAAGTATTTCAATATTTGATCAATTGGTTC